AACTTTAAAGGTTTTAAGAAAGAATCCGTTCGCAGATCCCCTCAGCCGTCCATGACTCAAAAACGCTTTCTCTCTCGCTAAAGACAAACCCTCTGACCACCGTAGATACGAGGAGCACACCTGCAATAGTTTGGAGTTTAATGTTTACACGGGCCACTGCGAGTACCGAATTGTGTTGCAAAAAAAATAAGCCGAATGTGGTCCTATTATTCAAATCGTAATCTAATCGTGAAACCTCGCAGATGAAAGAAATGTTTGTGGGAAATCCTAGCGTACTTGCGATTCATAGATTTCGAAATTGGTTGGTTTTCTTTTTTAATGCTATTTTTATTAATTTTAAATTAGAGGTTTTCACTTTTAAAGTTTTGGAATGATTGAAATTGTTGGATTTAAATAATTTAAATAAATAATTTTTCATTTTTCCTTCCTTTTTAAATTTGGATTTTTATCGATGTTATTCGTTATTTCGATTGCAATTTCGATAAGCTTTTTTAATTTTTGATTAATTAAAATTTAAAATTAGAAATTAAAATTGGTATTTATTGTTTTGCATAATTTTTAATTTTTATTATTTTACTGCCAATTTTAATTGTTTTTATTTTTTTGCTATTTGTTCATATATGTGGGCAAAGAATGCAAATGATAAGAGTGGTGATAATAAAGTGATAAGCGGTGATAAATGGCTCTTTTACAACAAATTTATTCGTCTTTATAATAATAATGGTTTTTATAAAGTGTGAGTAAATGATGGTAGTAAAATTTTTCTTATACTTTGAGTCCACTCTAATACCAAATGACCAGACAAAAGACGATGTTATAACCCGGATCACGGCAGATCAGGAAATGCGTTCTTCCGGTTGACGAAATCTTTGTTGAGTCATAAAATCACCATAGAGTCTGCATCTATGTAACCGTGATTCGTTCGATCTTGCTATATGGTTCTGAGACATGGCCAATGAGAGTGGAGAATATTAAAAAGCTATCTACCTTTGACCACTCTTGTCTAAGGTATTTCACGGGTCCATCGAGCGTATAAAATATCACGTGATCGCATCCACCTTCGTTCAAACACCACCCGTATTAATAATATTATCACAGAGCGTCGCCTTCAGTGGTTAGGGCATATTCTCCGTCCTCCACCACAAGAGTTGTCGCATATTTTGTTACTTGCCGTGTGATGGATGGCGTCAAAAGCGAGGTGGTGGACGAGGTGGGCCAATCAAAACCTGGACTGATATGGTCAGGAAAGATTTTGAATGTATAGGTGGACCAGCAATATATGGACTTAGACAATGGAAAAAGGAACGAGAACGACTTCTATTACTGTCGACGATGACTTCAGATCGCATCGTTTGGGAGCGTCTTACCCTTGTAGCCCTTGGATTCAGTCTAACCAGTAATGGTGAGAGCTATTAGAAGAAAAAGATGATGGTGACAATAAAATTAATAGTTTTTGAAATATATAATATTATTTAGCTGTAACATTTTAACAGTTCATTATTAATTTTCTTTTTTTCTTTTTTAATTTTAATTTAATTTAATTATTTTTTTTGATTTTTCCATTTAATCCTTGTCTTCGACAGGAGTGAACCTCACATGTTATCACAAGTCTAAGTGGCTGCTGGGAACTCATCTTTTGTTCGCAAATGACTCTATGGTGAAGGGATTTCATGCATCGTCCGCATCCTCCAGTGCTGTGATGATAAATGCAATAAGTGTGCAATCCAGGCATAAAACGATGCCAAGGCTGAATAAAATGTGCTGGCAAACCAGGGCAATTGCTCGAAACCTGTCAAAGGGAACGGCTCTCTGAAACATGCTGCGAAATATTAACAGTAGCATCGTGGAACGTCAGGACGCTTATGGATGCTGCAAGCCAAGCGATTATTGTTCACACTCTTTCTAAGTGTGGATATCGACCGTTTCGGAATCTTCCTTATTCCAGATCTCGTACAATTACTAAATCTGGCTCGAAGCAGAGGCTATCATTGTGGTGTTTCGGATAACTTAGGGCAAAATTGCAGGGCGATTATGTGAAGTGGCTCGGTCCATTATGATTGAATGGAAACGGTCCACTCTAATCACAACTTATATCCGCAATGCGCCTTCACGTTTCAAAAATTTCTGCAGCTGCCTTCGATTCAATTGGTAAAACTGTAATTTGGAGAATGATGGAATATGACGATGTTCTATAGAGGGTCATTGGACTCATAAAGGTATTTTATCTGCATAGCCTGGCACAAGTGTATATGGAGAACTGACAGGCTCCTTCAAAATAAGAACTGGTATCCGTTAAGGCTGTATTCTTTCCTCTAAAATATTCAACTACGTTATGCTGGATATCGCATATCGGCATTCAAGAGTTGTATAAATCAACTCAGAGCATGTATCTTAAATATGATGTAGTCCGTTTTGCTTATGGTTATGATATAAATAATAATGTAAATAATGCTATGTCAACAATTGCAGCGAAAATCAGTTTTAAATAAAATGAAAGATCTTTTAGTTTTATATAGAAGAAGCTAGTAAAATACCTGTCTTTATCGCTTTATTGCCAGTTGAAGAAATGCCCATTTTAAAATATTTTGAATCCACTATAATCACAAATGGCCAAACAAACGACGAAATTACAACTGGGATAACGGTGACTAGAAATGCATTCTTCCGGTTGATGAAGTCTTTGTGAAATCACGAAATTACTGTAAAAAGGGAATTGTGCGTCTGTATAGTTGCAATTCGATCGATCTTGTTATGTGGCTGTGAACATGGCCAGTGAAAGTGAGGATAAACTATTTGCCTTTGACCACTCATGTCTAAGATACATTTTTGCCGAATGGATAAAATCTCATATGGTTGCATCCACCTCAGCTCAAATACTTGCATTAATATTATCACAAAGTGTCGCCTTCATTGATTAGGGCACATTCTTCATCGTCCACCATAAAAGTTGGTATATATTTCGCTACTTGCTAAACCATGTGAATGTCAAAAGCTAATTGGGCCAATCAAAACCTGGATTGATACAGTCAGAAAAAATTTTGAAAATATTGGGATATCAGCTGTATATGGATTTAAACGGTATACCGTATTGCTTTAATCAGCGGAGCCAGTAATGGTAAGAACTGTTAGAAGTAATAGTTACGATGTCAACAACAATAATACTAGTAAATGCAATTATGATTGTAATAATGATTGTAATAATTATAACGACAGTGATAACAATAGCAATAATAAATATTATTATAGTGGTATTAATAATGAAAATAAAAGTAACAAGGAAAATAAGAAAATAGTTATAATAATATTAATAGCAAAGGAAAATAGTAGAATAATAGATAATAATAAAATAATGATAGATAATAATAAAAGTAATATGGTAATAATATTAATAACAATAACTACTCCTTTCTGGACAAAAGTAAATTTATCATTAAAATTTATTTTATCTTATTTATTTTAAATTTATTTTATTTATTTATTTTACAAAATTTATCATTAAAAAATCTGGGTGTTGTTTCCGCTTTTGCTTCTGTCGCTGAGTTATTTTCTGGCAAAAATTTTTAACCTTATTAACAGCAGAACGTAACCAGAACTGGTCAGAACTAACTACTTATTTATTCAGTAATGAAGATAGTAATATTAATAATGGTATATTAATAATAATGGAATAATGGTATTGATAATAGAAGTAAGTAACGGGAAGTAAAGGGAAAGATAAGATATTAAACATATTTTAACGGTTCATTAGGATTGCTCTTTTATTTTGTTGTTTGTTTACTATTTTTTTCTCCAATATTTTTTCCAGTATATTCCTTCATTCATTAAAATGATATGTAGGTTATAAATGATATAAAATGAAATGATGACGTGTATTAAATGAGTACGAAATATTTTTAATATTTATATAAATATTTTTAAAACAATCTAGCATATACAGAGAATCCCGAGAGGTATGCCTGATTTTTGCCACAAATATTGACCGGTTTTGGTTGCTTATTATTTACGCATTTGCAAGAATCAGGCAGATATTCTGGGCTTCTGCACATATAAGCACCTGGCTTTTTTATTTTCTCTCTATTATTCAATATTCCTTTTTTTATCATTTCAAATATATTTTTTTTTAAATTTCAAATTTCAATTTCAACTTTTCTAATTACTCTTAATATTTTATAGTGTTTTAATTTATTTATAGCTTCTCAACGCAGGAGATCAAGTGAGTGTTTCCTCCTCCCCAATAGTACATGCGTGGAATTCTTAAAAAGCTATATAGAAATAGAAAACGATTTTTTAAAGCTGTAATCGTTAGTTATTTAAATTATTTACTATTTTATTAAAATTTTTATTTGAAATTTTTTAATTTTATTATCGAAAATTCTTTTTTTCTGTGGTGATTGGCCTTCCTTAAAATCCAATAAACAAGTAAATTATTCAATAATTAGTTAGGTGGAATTGAAAAATTAAGTTTTTAATAAGCAAAGTTTGGTTAAAATTATTCCTGAATTTTGGGAATCTCTTATGAGGCTTATAAGTCAAATTATTTAATAAATATTACGATTTTGTCGGTTGATTCATTTGTTTTTCATTTTATTGTCCAATATTCCAAATTCTATGAATAATTTGACTTGTTTGATTTATGAAATTTTGGTTATTCTAATTTTAATATTCAGTTGGTCTCCATATAGATGAATTGAATTCTTTTTATTTTATATATGTGCTTGTGAACATTGATGTCTTATTAGCGCTATTTTATTGTTAAATTTTTTATAACTTGGATAATTCCTTATAATTTATTTTGGTTATTGAAGTATTTGATTTTTAGCTCATATTCATGTTTTTGATATTAAAGACTATCATTCTTTTTTATTTTATTTTGACTTTTCGCTATCTTTTTAGTATTCATACTGAATGGATTATTATATTTTTGCATACAGCATTTGCATTATTTAATATTCATTTAAGGTTCATTCCTGATACGTTATTATAATATACCGGCAAGAAAAATGGTTTCATCGCTTTCAATTTTTTCTATGTTATTCATCTTAATATTGATCATCTCTGCCAATGCACAGTTTTTGCCCCATCAAGAATGTTTTTGTAAAGCAGCCCATGCAGTTGATTCTTGTAGGTAGGTGTATTAGATATGTTTCCATTTTCAGTTTATTTATAAAATTTTTTGTAAAAAAATAAAAAATCGTCCTATAATATTTTTTTCCTTCTTGATTCAATGATAATATAATAAGCAAATTTTTGAGATAGAAATTCTGAGCTGAAATTAAAAAATGAGCAAAAATCAGAAATTTTCTTATAGCTGTGATGGTTCAAGTATCGATGAATTTAATAATGCGTTCGTCTATACTCGATTGCAAAAATTGCTGCAGAAAGATTTCTTTAGATTTTATAAGGTATCTTTCACGAAATTTTTGATTAAATGTTATTAAATGCTAGTTTATTAGTAATCGGTGCTTAACGATCGTTAATTATCTTAATCGATTCAGATCATTTTATTTTTGTTTTTTTGTAAGATTTCTTCAAGATATAATCTAGTTTTCTTGATCTAAATTTAGGTTAACATGGAGAAGGGATGTCCATTTTGGGCAGATAATCGTCAGTGTTCATCAAAGGAATGTGGAATCGGATATTGCGACGATGAAGTACCATCTGGATTAAAAGAACTGGCTAGTATTGCTGTAGTTCGTTTATCACCTAATCGTACATCGATAAAACTAACTCCAAAACAGGTTGAGGAGAAATGTGAGCATACTAGCAATCAGTTCGATCCGTTGGATAGGACATTAAGTGATGGCAATAGAAAACAATTGCTTGATATGGACTGGCATGATGATAACGAGAATAAGTTTTGTGATATAGAAGGTTGTTTTTTATTCTTTTTCCAATATTTTATAAAATATTTTTCAAATTTAGTGGATGCTTTTATTTATAAATCTTTGTTCAGCCTTTTTTGACTCCTTTTAGATATATTATAAATAAATTTTTTCTGGTGCAAACACTTGAGAAGCAGAGTACAAAATTTGACCTCTTTTAATTAAAGAATTCTGATAAAATATGCCAAATATCTTCACTGAAATTTTATTATTTATTTATTTATCGATTGTGCTAAAATCCATTTCGTTACCAAATTTTTTTTACTTCAGAAATATTCTCTGCCATTTTCTTTGTCTTATTTTGATTTTTTCTTTAATGGGCTTTAATAGTTTTATATTTAAATGTTACATAAATATTTTTATTTTTTTTGAATTTTGATGTGAAATTGCTTAAACTTTGGTATTCTTACTCTAACTAATTCTTTTTAAGGTTTTAAGAACTGGTATGCATATTGCTTCTCGTTTATTTTTTTCTCGTAAGTAAATATAAGTATATTAAATTTTTTATGGGTTTTTTGATTGCTTTTTCTCATGAATAGATAGAGATATGGGAAAAATTGGGGTTCTTGCATTGTTGTAAGTTGCCCTAATCGTCAGTGAAAGCTGCTGTGATATAATAGAAACCATTGCCTTATCATATTTAATCTTAATAATCTTAATAAGAACAGTATAATTAATGATTATTATATACTGTAATAAAACTAATTTACTAATTTTTATCCTTTCAAGGATTGATGAATTTTATCATTTCACAAGAGAATTCCAAAATCTATGTAAAGCTATAAAACGCTGATCTTTAGTCTAGTTTTTCAAATTTATTTTCTAATTTTTTAGAACTTATATCATTCGTATTAATTAGCCTCATTAATTTATTTTTAATACGTTTTATCAAATTTTTTTTAAGAATTTCAAAAAATGGATTGAATATAAAATCAAATAAAAGCCACATACAATAAAACAAAAATGAGGATACATAAAATTTTAAGAAATTGATATGAACCTATCCAGATGCAATTTCATATTTTTTAAATAATTTTATTAACATGGCTGACGTATCCAAAAAATTCAAATTCAAAATTTTAGTCTCTTTCTTAATTTATCAAGTTCTCAAACTTTTAATTGAATTTTAATTAATGAATTTAAAATTTTAGTTTTTTTATTAATTAAATTATATATTTATTATAAGATGACGATCTATCGAAAATGCACTATGTTGATCTACTTCGAAACCCCGAGCGTTATACTGGCTATAAAGGTATAAGCGCGCAAAAAGTTTGGGAATGTATTTATCGTGAAAACTGTTTTAAGTAAGTGCTTCTAAAATTTTCCCACCAGCATTATAATTATTAATGAAATTTCGGCCACATCATGTACTTTTAAGCTCCCTAAAATATAATGGAGCTTGTGGAACTTGAGTAAAAGTTTATATCTAATTTTATTTGCTGGATTCAGATTAAGTTTTTCGAATTCAAATTTTTTCCTATACAGATATATTGTGTTGATCTCGCATAAATTACATGAGAACAGTATTTGCTTCTTTTTAAGAAACCAAAGCCCATTTAACCATTAATTCAATTTAATCATATTGTAATTTGTAAAATTTGTGGTGGTAAAATAAATTTTAGGAAACGATGTTTATGTTAGAATATATTAAAATATACATTGAAACTAAAAGTAAAATGATATTACAATTAACATAAAATTTAATACTAAATATATTGAAAATAAATTTTTTTTACAGGCCAAATATGAAATTCGACAAAAATTTTCTTCTTCATCCTAATTCTGATGGTATTTTTTCGAAGTTATTTTACTACAAAAATTTTCTTTTGAAAGATCTTATTTTGTTATTTCTTTTTTGCAGGTTTGTGTTTAGAGAAACGTGTTTTTTATCGTCTTATTTCCGGATTTCATTCCTCCATCACAGTTTCCATTGCTGCTAACAGTTATAAACCTGGTTAATAATTATAAATTAATTATTGCTCAGTAAAAGTTATTATTCTTTTTTTTTCATAGTATCCCTTTGTAAAATTATGAAACTTATGGAAAAATAAAAAGTATTTCCAAAAATTATTTATATTATTAGTTGATTTAAAAGATCTTTTTAAAGCATTTTTTATTTATCTTTTTTTATTTCAGCTATTGCTAATTTTGATGAAGGACGATGGTATCGAAATGTTGATATGTTCCGCAATCGTTTTGGGATGAAATGGTCTTGGGAAGGGCCTGAGCGTTTAAAAAATATTTATTTTGTTTATATTCTGGAGCTTCGCGCATTAATCAAGGCTACTCCCTATCTCCGTAAAGAACTTTTTTATACTGGAAATTCCGAGGTTTATTTTCTCTCTTGGGAAATGATTTTCCTATTTTTCAAATCCTTTTTTTAATTTTTTCATTGTAGAATATTTTCTTACTACAAATTGCGTTCATATTTCTTTTCAAATATTTAGGAAGATCAGGCGACAAGGACGGCAGTTGAAGAATTAATGAATATTCTGAAAGATTTCCCTCAGCCATTTGACGAAAGTGAAATGTTCACCGTAAGTTTTCACAAACACTTTCAGTATTATTGTAGAATAGAAATCGAATTTTCGAATTGATTCAGCCAAGTTGTGGTGCGCATTTTTTGCCTGAATTTTTTTCGCATTGAACATTGTTATGAATTCAAAAAATTTCTATCCTCTCGGTAAATATATTTTAAAGGGTGTGGATGCTTTTGCTAGGCAACTGCGTGAAGAATTTCGAATTCATTTTCATAATATATCTCGTATAATGGATTGTGTTGATTGTGACAAATGTCGTTTATGGGGAAAAGTTCAAACGCATGGGATGGGTACTGCACTTAAAATTCTTTTTTCCGATTTACCTTATTCACACTACCGTCAAGGTGAAAGCTATCGAACACCTTTTCAATTAACTAGGTAAAATTTTATTGCTGATTCTATATTTCACTTTACCACAGAATCTTTTATTTTTTTTAGATTTGATGTTCCAGATCGAAAAGGTGAAATTTAGCTTTGTTATATTTGACCTTGGTTCCATCAAGAAAATTTGCATTTACCTTTTTCGCATTTTACTGCTTTTTATATTTGTAAATGTTAAAGGTCTAAAAGTAAAATAGTAGTTAGAAATAAGTGAAAGGTGGTGGTTAGCGCTCCACATTAGGTTAAGCCCACTAGATGGTTAATACAGTTAGAAATTTTATCCAGGAAGTCATTTGATGATGGAAACACAGATGGGTCACGGCCATCAGCCAGATTTTTTTATTTCGTGTTTAATGCTGTCGGAGGCAAGAACTATCGACTTGATAATCTGAACAACTGCTCACTCGGTTATCTTCCATCTAGAAATACTTGTTGTGGTAATAATAATTCTTGATTTTAGGAATGAAGTTGTCTCGCTTTTCCAAAGCTTTGGACGTTTTTCATCAAGTATCTATGAAATAAATGAATTTCGACGTGAATTATAAATTTGGTATAGGTATAAATTTTTAATATGACGGAATTAAAATTTGTTTTTTTTTTTTTTAAATCGCATTGCTTCAGAAGAGGATTGATTGAAGCGGAATCTTATTTTTCAATGAAATGGAAGTATGAAATTTTTCAACAGCTGATGAAAAATATGCGATTGGGTACTTTATTTTGGGTCGGTCTCCTACCTTATTATATTTTTTTTCTTCCAAACATGTACTATATTTATTTGAATTTTTCGTCATTCATAATTCTTTTTAAATTAAGCAGTTATGAATTTTTTTTTTTTTTGAACTAATTTGGGCTTATTAATTTTCATAAAAATTTTAAATGTGATCGGTGAGGTGCAATGTGATTTTTATCAATATTTTTTTTATTCGGAAATACCGGTATTAATTGTCCTTTTTTCAAATGTTTTAATGTTTGCATCGGAAATGAAGTGCCATTTGCATGGATAAAAACGACTATATCTTCTCTTCTTTTCTGATCGCTATTTGCTGATGGGCTTTTTTACTTTTCTTTTGTTTCATAGTTTTAATATGGAGGCATTATACCTGAAAGAAATCCAGGTATAGAGGTTTTTCTTAAAAGAACTTTAGTCTAAATTTTTTTTAACTTTAAATTGCCATTGGTTTAATTGTTAAGAAAGTGAAAGAAGCGAATGTTTTTCTTTTTTTTTCTTTTGTGTTTAAATTGTGTTCTCAAATATGATAAATTACCGGCAGTTTTTATTGAAAAAAAGTGCTTGCTTCAGCTCCTGTTTTTTGGACCATTTTGATTTGGAAAATACTTCTTCTTAAAACCACAGTAAATTCAATATAATCCATACTTTTAAGAAATACATTTGTGTCTCTTCAGCATAGATAATGTGGATAAATTTTTTCGAAAAAGAAAATTTTGAATCTATAAAATTTTCCTTTGCATCGATTGCATTTTAAATGTGGTTTCAAAAATTATAAATCTTAAGGTTTCATTTGGTGCTTTTTTGAGATCTTTTTGAGAATTCTAAACCTTAGAAAATTAAAAAAATCGGTTGCGACATCAGACAATACTGAGAGGTGGAAAATGATAATAATGTGTGATAACTAAACTGGTCAGTTTTGTGGTTTAATTCGAAAATCGATCGAAAATACATGTAGATATGGCTGGAAACCGATTCACTGGGAATCGAAAACTTTGTTGGGAAATCTTTGTGTTGAATTTCATTTGGGCATTTAAAGCAAAACCATAATAGAATTTTCTATCGGTGGATGAACCACGAAAATAATAATGATCTATTTATAATTAAATAACAATGGTCTACGAAAGCTGGATTGAATTATTTGTTCATTTAATGCAAATATCACTTCCTCGGTTTCATTGTTCTCTGTATTTACAAAAAAATTTTACTAAAAAACTTCGAAAAGTCTTCAGAACATTGAAAAAAAAGAGATAATAACTAGCGTTGTTACTATAAAAATAGGACACCATAGGTGGTACATAAAAAATATATAAATGAAAGATTGGTGGAATGGATAAAAATATCAACCAATCGTGAAATCATAGATTAGTTTATTTAGATTTTTTCGGATTTTATAACTCAAATCCTTTCTGCATTTCGATAATTCGAGCACATAACCTTTTCACATCATTCTCTTGTGGATTCGCAGACATCACAGCTATCACTGTGGCTTCAGAAAATAACTGACACAGCAAGTGGTGCAGTCTAGTTCGGCGATCATCATCAGCAACAGTTGTCCATTCGGACGATGATCTAGAGATGAGATAGAGGTCTAATCAAAGGATCAGGGCATTAAATTTAGTCAATAAAAGATCAATAAAATAAGCGTGTTCCATTTCTTTACAAGATGTTTCCAAAAAGTCGAAAAGTTAATTAAAAATAAGGGAAATGATAAATTCGTTTTACTCGATTAACATACTGTATGATTGGAGAAACACTCAGTTCTGGATCTCCCCATATAGCAGTTGACGATGTGAAATGATTCGGAGTACAGATGGTGTTAAATTGGCCATTTCCTAAAAATTTACGATTTTAAAATAAAATAAGATTATCTGAAATAACCTTGTTAATAGTTATAATTACTCATTTTATCTTTCGTCGAAGAGTCATTTAGTGTGTTACCTTTTACCAAAACATAGATGGATTCTCAACGTCATTCGGATTTGACTTTAATGGCAAATTTATCCTTCTCTTGAGACAGAAATCGAATCTACACCCTTAGTCACAGCAATACGCTCCTAATACATCCTCGGATTTAAGAACATAAGATTTTAGAAATTTAAAGATGAATATGAACATACTCGTCATATTTTGAACATCAGTGTAGCGAACTATAGATAATAGTTGTGATTGATCGTAAGGGTCATGCATATTGGAATAGGAGGTGCTGCGATTAAATTCAGGAAAGATGAAAGTGGAACCAAAATGAGGAGAATGATGATTCGGTGCTGATAGATTTCGACTTAGACTCTCGTGAACGATGGGTATCTGAGAAGTTAGTTTACACATTGACTGATCTTGCGTAGAGTTTGCATTAGCATTTCCAGCTGATTGTTTTGTAGCCTGTGATTTTTAGTTTCATTGAAATAATTTTTGTTAATAAATTTTTATACATTTTTATATTCATCAGCAGAAGATGATAGGTTCCCAGTACTATCCAGGTTTCGATGATAGGTTTGCTCCCATTTCCTGTCAAAGGAAAGAAATCGAATACTTGACCATGGTTGACTCGTCATTTCACCAGGAATTATTTATATTTTAGAAAACGTTCTCATTTCAAAGTTGGACTTACAGTATCAAACAAATTCTGGGAATTATTATGACACATAGTGAAATCATTTTGGACAATTTCGCAGTCGTTAGGAATATTAAGACTTTGTGTTCGAGTGACATTAAAATGATTATTTTCTTGGTATGGATGAGAAGTTGATGAATTTCCTACAAAGCATCATTAAATATCCTTGAAACATTATTTGATTATATTCCCTATTTCTTAGAGAAATATTCAAAAATAATTTAACTCTCTTAAATAACAATGACAAAAATATCAGTGAGTCGAATTACCTTTCATCAACCTTATCATAAAGAAATTTGCTAAAACTGTTCCTAAGATTAGTTTACACATTGACTGATCTTGCGTAGAGTTTGCATTAGCATTTCCAGCTGATTGTTTTGTAGCCTTAGAATCGGTCAATAATTTAAATAACTCCGAGTCCGGTATTTTTTATAGGTCATAAAAATTAATTTTAATTATCTTTTTGGTTTTCCAATTCCAAAATTGAGTTTGCCATTTTGCCATTTTTCTTTTTTATTTCAATTAACAATTTATATCTGTAGGTGAATTTGACCTATATTTTGCCAAACGATTCCAGGGAAAAGTTTCCAACCAAAACAATGGGTGCTCTTTTTTTATCTTTTACTTAATCTCGAAGTTATAAAAGTAAATTAAAATTAAATATCCATTCAGAAAAAAAGTACGAGCTGATAGGCATTGTTTGCGTTGTTGCTTCTCTTGGATCAGTCGATCGGTGACGCTTATATGGCCAAATGGTCTTTCTGGATGATAATATCTGGAAAATGATTAAAGTTAATAAAAGTTAATATCTGATGGTGGCAGTGACTTAACTTTAATTGTATAATCATCGAGTGATGCTCTGGGAAAAATTTTCAACTGTTTAAAAAAACTTTTAACAGAACTGATTTAACCAAAACATTCAATGCATTAACCACTTATTTACCTCACTTATTTGAATTTAAGCATTAAATAATAAAATAGATAAATTAATGTAAAAATTAATGCACTATTTCTTTTTTTAGTTAAGATTTTAGTTATTAAAATTGGAAGATATTTAAAAAAAAATTCCGAAATGAGGTCAGCTTTAGCGTTTGCAACAAAAAAGACTTACTTGCATTTATTACCGTAAGTGCATTTACGAGCGTAAGGACATAATTGAGCAAAAGAACCGTGATTTCCACTCGATAAAAACTGAGCCAATTTCGGTCCATGACGGCCAAGTGGGTCGTCTGGTGGCACAAATCTGAAAAATGAAAATTAACTGATGCTTGGTATATATATATATCAAATATATATATCAAATTTCTCAAAAATATCTTTTGTATATCTTTGATATCTTAAAAAAATTTTTGATTATAAAGATTTACCGTCCATCCACAAAAGAATACATTAACAGGCGTTGTTCGACAAGCTTACGATACTGTGGATTCTCTTTAATTAGATCCCTATATTCATCATTACTAACGATGACTGCGTCTTTTTCCTCGGCTGTTTTTAGTATATATCGATCATCATGACATACTATATGGCGACCGCCAATTCGTCTTGATGGAGTCCAAGTCTAAAAATAAAATTGCAACATGATGACAATCGATAAATCGAATAAAAATTTCTATAAGGGATCTTAATGAAAAGAAAGTTAATTGGGATGTGCAACATGAGTGGTAAAATGATAAAACAAATATAAATAGCCAAGCGCAAATAAAAATTTTCAACAAAAAGACTAGGAGTGGGAGGGGTGATCGATGATGAATGAAAGCGATATTGGTGATTTCTTGATTTGATAAAAATATCTTTAAAAGTAAAATCTGCCTAGTTAGGTACCTATGCCTCCATTCTCAGTTGGCAAAACTTTGACCATTAATTAGAGGAAACGTCAAAAATAGTACGTGCGACTGGAAAGAAGAAAAGATTGCTGATTAAATAGAGATAAGTTTAAATAAACTTTTTTGCCTCAACAGCCCTACCAAGATATTTTGTTGCTCGAGTTCAAACAATATGTGTTGATCAGAGATGGGACAATCTGATCGAGCAGCTTCGCGTCTAAACTGTGGTACAAACACGAGAATGTCCTTATGACCTCGATCGCGAAAAAATCGAACACACTCGCGAATTCCACCACAAGAAAATATTTCTTTCCGACCATGGCTAAAAGTTAATTAGGTATTAATTTCAAATTTTATAGGAATTTTTTACACTGGAATGTCTTCCAATTGCGATATCTATTTCTACTAAATCTAACTTTACTATTTTTGATTTCCTATTCATTAAAATAAATTATTAACTAAAATTTGTAAAGAAGCAACAGAAAATAATTATGGAAATGATTATGCCAACAAGATTTAGATGAACAAAACTCAAGCTTAGAAAATTTCGAAATTTTAAGAGAAATTCGTTCATTCCTAGTAAAATAATTATTTCGAGATTTCTCTGCAACAGTTTCGAGGTACCGTCTTTCTGAAACGATAATTTCCGATCTTTTAAAGGGCAAAATGGACGAAAGAATTATATTTTACACGATAATTTGACTCTGAATGGAATTTTTTAAATTATTTATTGTTACTGCTTATTCTAATGTTTCTTCATCGTGAATTGATAAGGTTTAATTCTAATTCGTAATTTAAAAAATAAAATCCACGCACGTCATTGCGATATTTGATCCATCGATAACGATACTGCGAAGTGATGGTTTGGTATCACCAACACAAATATTCGTGAATTTCAAGTTTGAATTGTTCGGCATTCGTCCCAATTTGATTAGCTCACTGAGAATTTGATCCTGGATTTTGAAACTGAATAAATTATTAAATATTTCGTAGGCCGTGGATTATGAAACCTTATACAATAAGCAAAGGTGAAGAAAAGTTATTATGACATTATGAAATGTACCTGCCCCGCATTTGCTCCCAACTTTTTGAGTACGATTTTTAACTGATTTTCTGTATATCCGAGCTTAGTGGCAAATTCCACTAAATGGTCGTCAGCGACCGTAAACTTCGCAAAATTATAGTTTAGAGTATCTGAAGGTTTACGAGATAGTGAATTATGTGATTCCTCTGAACAACTCGAGTAACATGAATCGTGTAATTCCAATGCTGTCGACTCAGAATAGCTAGAAAATGATTTTCTGAATGATTTTCAAAAAAAAAGTTCATGTAACTAATATAACTAATAACTAATAGTGCTCTGAAAATCAGGAATTATATCCATAATTATATATATTTGGGCAATGATCTTAGGAAATTTATTGCATAAACGTTTGTGTTTATATTTGAATCTTTTCTAAGCAGACCGAACATTTTACCCAAATAATTCAGAAAAGAACATGTATTTATATAATTTTCTTAAGAATGTTCACCACTTTAGGTTAGACTCACGGCGACTCATTTCATTGGCTTCTCGGAGCAGATTAATTTTTCCGGTAAGTCGCTTGACGACAGATAAATCTCACTCGGTTTTGAAAAACAGTGGCTAAACTCCAGTATCGAGATGAGAGTAACACTAAGTCATTCTGTAGTTGCCTATTCATTTTTTTATAAACGATCAACTTATTTCTAGAAAATATTTTTATTAGGATTTCTAGAAAATTTGGTCAATGGGGTTTCGAACTAATTTTCTATAAACTCGATTAAGATAAAATTCTACGGATAATTTTAACGTTTGATGACAATTTTTTTCACATTTTTCCGAAATTAAAGTCTGGATAATAGCAATTTAGCATTTTAAGTTTCCCTTTTTCATAGTTATTTATCATTTTCCAACTTCATGATAGAAAAAGTGATGGTATGAAACGCGAAATGATAGGTTAATTTAGGAATTTACGAAATTGATGGCAAGATGGCGAAAAATGCAAAAATGTGAAAAAATGAAAAATACTTCCGCATTTAAAAAAAATCGTTTCAGGTATTGTTGCCCCTACCTATTCCCAGCAAATTTCATATATTCTCAATATCACATATTAAAGGCAAATTTTGCCAATATTCCGTATTATTTTAATAGGAAGTCACTTGGTGATGGAAGTATAGACGAATCACCATAACCACACAGGCTTTTGAAGAAGAATCTTATCAGGAATAAACGCACGAAATGGGAACTACAACGAATTCCACTCCATTTCAGCAGAATTACTATCATTTTTTTTCCATGTGGAGATTGAATAATCAATACAACAAGGCACAAAGAAAGTTAGAAAAGCTCGAAGTTCACCTATCTGATCGATCAAAACTGTCATTGGCGGTTTCACGAAATGCACCTCTGGATAATCGTCTTAAAGGTGGATGAACATTATTTCGAAAATTATTGCCAGAATTAATTTTGCTAGACACATCGATCATTGAATCCGTGAATGATGTGACTGGGAATTCGGATGAAATGTTCATGGAACGAAGTGGTACATCAGAGATTCCAGTCGATATATTGATAGACTGTTGAGAATTTCCTTGAGCCGACGATGACGTAAAAGCATCGAACATATTTTATTATAGCGACCGAATAGCGCAATAGCTCAAAAGTGGCTTCTAGAACGACTGAATCCTGCAAGGAAAACGCATTTAAGTCGATCAATTTTGGTTGATTCCTTTCTCTTCTCTTCAATATATATATATATATTATAAAATAAAATTTGTGTTGACTGCTGGCAGCTGAAGTAAGAAAAGTGAGCAAAATTGAGAAAAACAATGATTAGTACGATTAGAATAGCAAATTTATTGATAAATTATTGATAAAAAATCTTTTCTTTCCTATCAGTGAGGCTTTGCTGGCTATTTTTTTTAGGAGCCATCACCATTACTGGTTAGACTCGCTCTACTGACTTATCGCACTGGACAAATATGCCAGGGGGTAAGAAGTCCCTTGGCGACAGAAACACAGGAAAGTCGCCAGCATCGTCCGGATTGCTGGATAGGTTTACCCCAACGAGGATTAAAGCTTCAGCGCTCCGAATTAAGCGACAACCCACCGAGCCATTCTACTCAATAGCTCTGCTGGCCACTGGTGCAATCAATTAGAAATTTTTGCCAGGAGCTAGTCAACTGGCGATGTTATCACTCCCAAGGTTCCTGTCTCACAACAATTAAAGTTCTATCCATTCGATTACTTCCGAATGATTTTAAGAAAATAGAAAGTGAATCTGACAAAAACATTATTGTAACAAATGATCTTTAAGAAGAAATTTTAATGAAGGGAAGATCAATTTTAATGGACCAATTTGAGACAAGAAAAGGGGGAATTTCTGTACTGACAATCCAGTTTTCGTGTTACGTGTTGTGTATAAACACAAATTGGTTTTGCGATGTTACTTCAAACATAAATTTGCGATAAGCGTTTCGTTCATTCCTTCGTTTATTTATAATATTTGTTTTTTATTTAGATAGAATTCTCTTTTTTTAGAAATTTTTCAAAGATTTGAAAAGTTAAACTCGATTCCTTTTCCTTGGCGAATTAGCAAGTTTTAGGCGTATTCCCTTCGTTAATTTTCTAGGCAAATTAAAGATTAAATCGCTGTATATAGGGAATCGATACAATCTTTCGCACTGCATCAGATCGTCAGAAATGCGTCAGAGTTCCTCACTCCCTTATAGTTTTCAACTGTGCAACAGACTGGGTCGTAAAAACCATTTACAGGCTGCATTCGTGCCAGACGCGTGTAGTTTGAAGCATATCACGTTAAAGAAATTAAAGTCAAAATGATGATAATGATGTCTTTTTCACTGAAAGTTACAAGGACACGCAAAGGATGCTAGTCGACCAGTGAAAATTGCTAATATGACTTTTTTCCCTCCTATATACCATTAAAAGGTAGCAAATTATATGAATTCATTGTCGGTCCAACGAAGTCAAACTTTAAATATCTCGCATCCACTTTCATACCTAATGGCCAAGCGGACATTCCAGATCTTTTGGCTGCAGCCAGAAATGCCCTTTCATCGAGCGAAACCTCTTCAGAATCACTGTGAATTCAGCCCCAAAAAAATCCGCGTCTATATGTCTTGAGATTAGAAGATATCATGAAGATAGTTGACCATTTTCGCTTGTATAAAGTGGACAAAATTTCACATGGTTGCACAAACAATCACCTTCGTTCGAATACTATTTTTGTAAAGAATATCTTCGCAAAGCGTAGCTTGAGCGTCCACCGCAAGACATATTTCAAAAGTGTGTGATGAATGGTATCAAAAGCGAGGAAGAATACGATCAGGTCAAAAATTTTGAACACATATGCGGTTCAATGATATACGGCCTTAGGTGGTGGAAAAAGGAGTGGCTTCAGTTACTTTCAAGATCGGAAATTTTGGAAATTTTTTGCCCCAGTCGTCAGTGGAGCGAAGCCAATTAACAATGGTGCGATAACCAGGTTTTAATAATGGTTTGACATATACCTTACTTTTTTATTTTTTATTTATTTTTCTATGAAAAATTAATTTATTTGATTTACCTTATTGTTCACTTAAAATGGATTTCTTTACCTGAAATTGTATATTATTGCGAGATATTTTGCCAATAATAGTAGAAATTACTTTCAACGACAATATACCTAGTATACCAGTCTTTAGTAAATTAGCACAAGGAATCAAATTATATCTTATCATTTTCAAAAAATCAAATATATGGTCAGCCAATATAATTTACAGATGAGATCTAGAAAATGCAGATGTCTCCTTTTGAATTATATCATATGCAAGGGCAATTAGCAGTTTTCTTACGCGATATTCTAAATCGCTTATCCCTTCACTTCCTTAATTGTTCCAAGCAGATTTTAACAAGTAGTTTTACAAACATACAAGTAATTAAATAAATAAATGAGAAACAAACTTACCAAGTGAAATTTCAAAAATTTAACATAAAAATATTCAAATAAAGTTTTTGAAAAATTACATTATTTTTAATGCGCAACGTTTAAAAAAAAAAGTGAACAACGAACGACGATTTTCAACGACGAATGTTTACTTTTCTCCAAATTTAATCAAACAAATAGATAAACAAATTGAATACGTCAAGTCAAACAAGGTTGAAATCCAGTTCTGAAATATGCTTAGCTTGAAAGTTTTTTTCAGGTTACTACGAGAAAGATTTCGTTAAACTCAGAAACTCTTTATTGAGACCATATCAAACAGTAAACGTCCTGTACAATTATAGGTCTTAGATTGAAATCCAGTACAACATTTGAGATCGTTGATAAAATTACAAAATTTTCAACACGACTCAATGAATAATGCATATATTATTCAATCATCGAGAATGCAAGATTTATCACTTCAGATGTGTCTGATAAAATGATATCATAGAACTAAAAATACTCAAAGAAATTAGAATTATATAAATAGAAATAAAAAGAATTACGTAAAAATGTATGAAAGAAAACGAGGCATAAAAAGATTCAACATTGAGAGATACCCTTTGAGCAAAAAAAGATTCGTTGGATTATGGGAACTTTCTCAAAACAAAATATTTTTTAATTTATGAACATAGAAAAAGATGAATACTGAATAAGTGGATTAAAAAATTAAAATCACTGGAATCGAAATTCGGGTGGTGTTGTGGATGTACCTTTTTCTCTAAGTCGCTCAAAGCACCATAATATTGGACCACTCTGCAGAATGAATCGATCGACTTTACCTTTACCTTCTGACTACTTGCACCTTACTGATTAGATTGTATCCACTAACTATAATGATGAGACGTTTGCAAGTCTCTTCGGTCTTATTTGGACGCTTCACCACAGAACTACTCAGAGATAAAAATGCAGATTATTTCCAGCAACCAATCAAAAATCATTTATCAGTAAAAACGTCGAAATTAATGAACCAATGAATCAAAAAATATTTTTCTAGAAATTATTTTAATCAATTAATTACCTAGTTGATAACCAATCGAATGAACTAGTCGAATTGAATATATCAATTTTTTATCGATTCCATCGCACTTCATTGTTCTTTTTTACATGAATTTTAAACTAAAATTCTATCGCTATCAATATTAATTTTTTTAAAAAAAGGTTAATTACTGATGAATTGCACATTTCAGCGATCTGAAAAAAATTTTCACAGAAAAAGCACCGATTCTTCGATTTTCTCGCATCGATCAAACTTATTATTATGAAAAGAGAAATATAGTACAAGAAATAGTAATAAAGCTGGCAATAATGCTGATAATAAAGATAGTAACAATAATAATAATGGTAGCAATAATGGTAAAAATTATAAAATAATAATAACAATAATAATAGCAGTAATTATAATTATAATAAAATAAACTAAAATAATAATAATAATAAATAACAATAATATTAATATTAATTACAGTAAAAATAAGAATTTCTATTAATCTATCTGTATTATACTATAATTTGCAAGAAAATGTGAGTTGTGTTGGAAAAAAAGATAATCTGAAACAGGAAAATCTCGAACCATTGTTATGAAATGAAATCGTTTGATATGATTTAACCAATAGTTTAGACATAATCACACCAAAAAATAAGCCGCAGATTAACACTGGTCACCGTAGCCGCGAAGGCTGAGGAAAAATATTCAAATGCCGTAATATAATTGTGCCTTTAATCGTTAGAATTATGCAAGATATAGCATTCCCTGTAACTCTCCTTGGACATGAAACTTGGGCTTTAGGACGAAGAATATTTAGAGAATCAAATTATCCAATTTTTGGTCTATTATGAGAAAATTCAGCTGCATTGAAAAAGATCTGTTGCTTGCAGTGGTACAAAGAAAAAAAGGCAAGCTGTACAAGGCTCATAGCTTCAATTTCAGATTCGATGATAGGGACAAATTGCTTTAGAGACCATCTATCTATATACTCCCTAGGAGTCGAAAACGACTTGATAGCTCGTATCAATAAAAAAATGTGTTTTATATGCATGTGCATGATAATTCTTCTTCATTCATTTCGGGTCTTTCGGGTCCTGAAACCAAAGGATTGTACACCCATGCCATAACCGATTTGTAACACTCTATGGATCTTTTCATATCTCTTTTCACATCAAATTTTCTTAATACTTCTCTTCGTTGCATAGATTTCACGATCGCAAATTGTTAAATAGCAAAATATGATGAGGAGTGGAGGGAATGAGTTATAATTGAAATATGAAATTAGAACATATTAAAGGAGAACAGAGACTCCATGCAAATTAATGAAAGAACTTAACGAGTTTAAGGAAGTCAAGAGCACTTAAGACTTGTCTAATGATGGGTCTTTTCATTCTTATAAACTTAAACAATAAGAAAAAGCTTCAAAAAATTATATCAATTTGGGTAGAAAAAGAATTGTTTGTAAAAATAATAGAAGTAAACGTGACGAACAATAGATATAAATTAATTTAACTGTTAAAATTTGCAAATTAAAATCATCTACCAGGTTGCAAATTGAGCGTCATTAACTAAACATTTAGCACATAACAATGGTACTGCTATGGTTTCATAAAACATCGTTCCTGATGTGCCATTACAAAACGACATCGTCCTCTAAAAATACGTCATAGTGCCTGTGTGACCTCGTACCCTATTGAAAATCTATGATATTTTTGAAAAAACTCGAATATTTTAAAATCATTCCTAAAGCTCTGCCCTATTTTCTTATCCATTAGTAAGGTTATCTTGAACTTGTTTCAGTCGCTTTAAGTCCTCCAAGCTGAGCAACCTTATAGCCACTCGAATTTCTTTCATTTAAGGCAAATCTTAAATTGCATTTACTTACAAGTTTTAAGATAATATTTAGGAGCAATATTAGAAGTATGGAAGAAACAAAGGTCTGAAGAAAAGCCGGCCAGTGCGACTGAAGTTATTACTAGTAATTAACATAATTTGAGCAGCACAATTGTGCAGTAAAGATTATTCTTAAATAAAAGTGGCAAGAATAATAATTTCCTTCCAACCCACAAAAAAAAAACGTACACGAATAGCACCTAACAGATTGGATGATATATATGACGGGGATTTGAGATTCACTGCTCACCACCCACTCCGATCCACCGTTCACCAGCCACTCGAACTAAAGTTTCGCCAACTGCAGAGCTCTGAATGTGATTAAGAGTGTGTAGCGTTATAATACATACTGCTCGACTAAAACTGAACATAATTTACAGCAAACGAAATCAAAAAGCGAAGAGTAGGAAAATCGAGAGTTATATTTCTTCGACTTATCATAGTTTTGATTTCTCTCCCTCGACTATTGCCATTAAAAGAGGATCATGGCGCTGGCTGGGATCCATCCGTAGATCTGTCGCAAATTCCTGGTGAGGGAGGCTCAGCTCAGTAATTGGTGCAAAACAACTAAAAGTAATGAGAAACAAAATATCGAACATTATAGTCATTGATCCTTTGTTATTTCCGATTACTTTTATATTATTTTCACACTTTCACTATTTTATTTCATAGTCACAATTATATTATTACCAGAAAAGCGAAGCGAGCGGTGGCTATTCAGTTGAGAGTCCTTGGCCGCCCCAGGGGCACTTCCACAACCAAAGATTACAAGGGCGCACGCAATCCATTAATAAATTTTCGCAATTGAGCAGCAACGGAAAATTCAAAATCTTTGGTCTTACAACGAACATCTGAACTTATTCGGATTCGTTCCTCCAACAATTGGGAATTGTTTTTTCCTTTTTCTTTTTGGTTGTTTAAGAGATTTCTCGTGTGAAGTCCTTTGGCTCGTTGAAGGACTGAAAATATATCCGTTTTCTTTTGAAGCTTCGAAAATAAATTTAATAAAAGTTCTAATAAAATTTCAGTGGAAAAATTAAAATTATTAATTTGCGAGCTGAAATTAAATTTCATTTGAAAAGAAAAGAAATCGAGAAAAACTGGAATTTTTCATTTCTACCGACCTGCATTTTATGCATCTTTGTTTTGCAGTTTTCTTTTCTTTTGTGCAAAATTTGAATCGACGGTTGCATCGATTCGCGGATTCGCGGACTTTGCACGAAATAAATTTGTTTAAAGAGGTTTTCGCACTGAAATGATTTGTAAAACTTAAAATATAATATATTAGAACGTTGCTTTAGTGCAGTGCATTCGTTTGCTCAGGTTTTGCTTAGGTGCTAGAACGTGGATGAATTTTATAAGTTGAGTTTTCGAATTTTCTTTGAGCACTTCGAGGAGTCGAGCATCTTGCGTGCTTTCCTTTTTGCTCCTCGCATCCGTCACAAGTTTTGGTATATAGTGAGTGAGATATACCATTTTTTGTCAACAAATAAATGATGCTATGCACGTTTAACTTATTGCGCGAACTATCGGGTCCATTCATCAATTTCGAACTTGTAAAACTATTTTTGTAAATTCGTTTGGTTTCGTAATAGAATTTGAATAATTCATTTCGCATCGCATAACCCTTCCTTCAGTTTTTCTCATTTCCATATTTTCGCTTTAATAGTTCGACAAAAAGTGTCGCGTTCGACCATCTCTTTAAACTCTTATAACGTATAATTCTCTTAATCTCTTATAACGTATAATTTTCAAATCTTTTTATTTATTTAAATACTATATACTTCTCATGTAACATCATAAATACAATTTTTATATTTTCATCCGTTTTTTTAATTTTAAATATAATTTTTTATATTTTCATCCGTTTTGTCACGTATATATTTATAATAGCATGGGTGAGCAGTGTTTGCATCGATTAAATATATGTATGATTGTGGGGTAAGTTCGTTACAAAAATATTTGGTCATTTTAGCGAAATCCCGTTGGTGATCTCTATTTCAAAATAACCGTTTTGCGAAGAGGCTTCACTTTAATAGTCAGTGAAGTCAGCCACAGGAATGGATTGTCATTTCAGAAATAGAAAAATTTCCGTCATCAAAATTTGTACTTTTCAAATCATCTTTCGCACTGCTAACTTAACTTGAAATTATAAACGGTGATCAACTGATTTAATTAGTCTGTTTAACTAAATTCGTAGTCAGTTGTCTCTTTAGATAATATTCTTTGTATTTCCATGCTTATTTCATATATTAATTTTATAATTTTTTATTTGTGATGTTTATACATGTAAATGAAGCGAACACAAATCGTCGTTATAAAATTTTCATATATCATTGAACGTGAATCATTGCATTGTTCGAATTTATCAGTTATTTCAGATGATACTGGACCATTTTATTTAGAAAATTATACAAAGAAAATAGAAATGATTGAAATTTCTCCTTCGGTTATATTCTTTGCGATTTTTCTAGCTGTACCATTGCAGATATTATTTTCGCCACAAAGATCGTCTGATGCACGCTACCATTTTTTCAAGTTGCTTCTTTATTTTTTTATTTTATGTTTCACTTCACTGTTTGCTTTAGAGAAGCAGTGAGACTTAAGATTGCATGGAATATATTTATTAGGTAAAATCCATATCCAAAATTTATTCTTCTGGTTAAAACTTGAAAAAAATTTGGAAATATGGAAAAAAAAGAAATGAATCCTTTTTAAATTTATTGGACTAAGAGCTGTTGAGTAATTTCATTTTTTCCTTTGATTTGACCGTTTGATTTGTCTAACTTATTATCAATAAAGTTCTTTGGATCAGTGAAGATTAACTTATCACTAGTTGATGTTTTTAGTTTTCAAAAATCGTTAAAAACAATTTTCGAGTGGCTGAGGAAAGCAAATGTAACTGTTATTGATGATACTGTCGAATTAACGCCAGAAGATAAAAAAAGGAATTACTTTGCTTGTAATTTTTTAAAATTATTTAAAAGTTTTAAAAGTATTTTTTTGATATTTGGTTATTATCATTATTAACGGTGTAAAGATTAATTTGGAATTAAACTGAATGATATATATGTATATATGTCATATACATATATATGTTATACATATATATATATATACAAAAATTATACAAATTATATAATATTATATAAATTATATAATTTTCTCAGCGTCAGTTGAGCCTCGTGATCCTCGGCCGCCTTCAATTAAATATCGTGTTGGAGATATAGTAAAACATAAAATCCATGGATATCGTGGTGTTATTATTGGGTGGGATGAAAAAGCAAACGCTCCTCCTGCTTGGATCGCTAAAACTCACCAAAATCGTTTGGTTAGTTGTTATTTTATTGGAGATTTTTATCGCTTAACAGAAGATTCATGAGTTTTTGCATTTTTATTAATCAAGAGTTCGTTAAAAGAATATCGAAATATTGACGGTTGAACAAATGGTAGAAGGGCTATTAATGAGGGTTATTAATAAAAAATTCAAAAATTCACAAAAAAATATCATTAGGAAAAAGTTGCAAAATTTAAATGAATTGTTGAAATCCATAAATTGTCGATTGAATTTTTTGGTCGGGTCTTGCAAAATTCTGTTTTTTAGCCTGTTAGATAACATTTTAATTGGTCATATAGGAAAACAAAAGTTAAAATTTAATTGAGATTAGAGCAAAGTTTAAATAAAATTTAACAAAAACACCTGGGAAATTTGCTCAAACAAGAGAAAGAATGGGTGAATATTATTTGAACGATATTGTAAACTACATATTCATATTCATTATATTCATTATTTTATGTAGGCATTTCACTATTTGAAAAGAGCAGACTATCTGTAATAATATAGATTTATTTTAAGGATTGGTCGGAGCTTCCAAATTATGCTGTGATTATAGATACAAGAGATCGTTTGATTCCACAAGTTGCTTATGTTGTTGAAGAAAATATTGAATTGCACGAAGGATGGGTTTGTTTTCTGTTATTTCTCCACATATTTTTTATGGTGGTAAAAGACCAAGTTATTTTCATCGTTAAGACACGATCTTTTTTCAGATAAGTCATCCACTGATAAAGAACTATTTTGAGTATTATGATGGTAAGCACTATGTTTCTCGACCATGGCATAAAAAATTATATCCCAATGATTGATCACAATTTTTCGAGTACATTTTCCATCAGACATGATGTGTTATAATATGTATTCATTATTTATTATGGTAGAATATTGTGCGGGTTTTGCATCATTGTATTGGTATTAAGTTAAGCGTTTTTATTATATTGTCAGTCAGTTGTATCAGTCAATTTTGTGAAAAATTTATGGTTTCTCATATGAATGAATATTTCTTTCGCGATGCATAAGTCTGAAAAGTCCATTCTTTTCTAATTTATCTATTAAATCTAAATCGCGTTCGTTTCTTACTTATCTGAATGATAAAATTTGAAGCATTGGTAGTGATTTCTTTGTGGATTAAGATTGCTCCATTAAACATTTTCAACAACGAAGATTTCATTTCGATAACGAGTTTGTCTGTTTACTTCTTTCTTGCCTTCCTTTACTTCTTGAGCCTTTTTAAATCAAACCAAGAATAAGCGATTTATCAAACATTCTATTCTTTTTATCTATTATTCTAAATCAAGCAATCGCTTATTGCCAGATAATAATTTTATGAAATTTAAAGTAATGTTTGTTTTTCTGAAATCATTCCTTTTCAGTCATTGTGATCATCCCATTGTGTAGAAAATTCCTTGGATTTCTGGAAATCATTCAAATTGATTTGATTGTTATTGATTAGCACATATTCACCATCGCCTCTGTTGCTTTGAATTTAGTTTGTGCTTTATGCTTACCAGAATATGACTGATATCATAGCGTGTAATTCTATATTCTTTAATTTTTTAAGTTAGACTGTGAAGCAAGTGTTTATGTAAGCGATTTTCATAGTTGGTATTCAGTGGATCCTTAATTTTTCTTGACTTCTGCCAATATGATCGAGTGCTGTATTCCTTAGGTTATCATTTCAAGCATCGATTTCTGCCAATGGTATGAGTAAATCTGTCATTGAAAAAGAAACTGAAAATCCACCAGTATTGCCAATGTTCTCTGACGAACTAACCAGAAATCATTTTTGCCAACTACTGCTTATTATTTTAAGCAATAAATTCATATTTTCGAAAAAAAAATGAAATCGAATTCAAGTAAATTCTCTCCTACAAGAAATTTCTTTGCTTAATCAAAAAAAAAAATTATTTAATTGTTCATTTTATTAATTATATTTTATAAGCGACCAATCTACCATCTTTTAACGTTTTTTTTTAAATGTCAATAAATATTCCCCTGAAATCGAAAAAACAAAGGACATTGAAAATATGGCACAATTTCCAGTTTTATTTTTTCGGTAGTAACTGTAGTAGCTAGCAAATAAATCAAAATTACTTAGACGGTTCGACCGAAGAATCAGCATTATGAAAATGTTTCGTAGAAATATTATATCTTTATATCTTTTATAAATATTTTCGAGTTTCGAGGCAAAATGATTAAATTCTAAAATTTATAAATAATAATTATTCTAATTATTAAACGAATTTTAATATATTTTCTCTTGAGCGATTAGCCATGAGAGAAAGAATCCACAAATAGTTTTAAAAAGGGTGTTTTAATGATTGGCCTTAGTTTGGTACAAACATGCATTGGTATAAACCTGAGAAGACCTGAATTGTTCTATTGGATACCTTGTTCATCGTTTGCATTCAGAACAATGGACGTGCAAATAATATAGAGATGGAAAAACTCTTTTTACACTCTTTATTGACAAAGAAAAAAGTGAAGATCGTTATTGAAAAAAAGTAAGCAACTAGCCCCACTGGCTGGCTGTTAATATGGTTAGAAATTACCAGAAGTCACTTGACGATGGAAGAACAGACGGCTCTCTAGCACCACTATCCGATTTTTGATAATAGGTTTATTCCTTTCGAGACCAAAAACCAACCCCTTATTTCTCATCGTGTTATCTTATTCACTATCCACTCGGCCATCACATCCCAGCTTTGTTCCTTGAAAATATATAATATTTATTTTTTCGACATCATTTGTTTTGTAAACCTTTCGTCCGAAATTCCTCATGATTACGTTCGCTGATAACTTCATTCGTGTCACGCATTTTTTTCGGATCTTATCATCGACAGGAGTCATCGAAAAATCATCAAATAATTCCCTGGTTTTAATATCGATAAAATAATTTCAAATGGAATTTTCGAGTGAAAAATAATTAAATTCAAAACTTATGATCAATAAATTGGGTCTTTTTCGTGTAATCCTATTTCATACTAATTGATGACGGAAATAAAGCTTTTATGGAGAAATGTCGAAAAATATTTTTCCATTATCAATTTCTACATTTCTTTTATAAATATTTTCCCTAAGATTTATTATTATCTATTTATCAGAAAGCCATGCGAAGAAACTTAATTTTTTTCCAGAAATTTCGTAATTCGTCTCTTTTGCTTTCTGGAACCCATTTGCTTGCTTTTCCTTTTCTCTTAAATCGTCGAATAGTCGATTTTTAAATCGATGAACTTGTTCTGTCAAAAAGTTATTAATTTTAGTCCATTATTACAATTATTAAGCGAAAATTGGAATATCGACAAAAATTTTATTACATTATACAGTCTTTATAATAAAATATTGGATAATCGAATGGAGGAGTCGTACTCCCTCGAGTGACTCTTTGCTGAAAGAATTTCGCCCTAACAGTCAGTGGAACCAGGAATGATCTGGCATAACCAAAAATGGTGAATGCTGACAAAATACACCAGTTTTTTTTTTTTTTTCATTCGTGCAAAATTTGTTTAATACTTCGTTTAGTTATCTTTTGTTTTTAATATTTTTTCTTGATTCGTTCTTAATTGTTTTTTATGTCAGAATATTCCTTAATATTAAGCAGTCAGTATATGATAAGGAATTGGCGCAGACAAGGTTAAGAAAAAGTTTAGCAGTATTTGCGATAATTCTATTTTCATAGCAAATAGGAGGAAAGTAAATGTGTGCGATGTTGGAGTTGAATACTTGGAGGAAAGCTTTATTTCGAATCAAAAATTCTGATTTCGTAATGAATACTGAAGAAGCTGAATGTTTGGTGATTTTTTCCCAGTTTTTGCTCGAAATTTGGGTTTTGTGCGGTTGTAATTTTATCTTTTTTTTATTGAAATTATTCACCATTTTCGGTTTGCCTGGCTTCACTGGTTATAACTCCTTTCACCAGAATGTCGCTCGAGGATAGAGGTGCAATTGAATCACCACCGATTGTCACAGAATATAGAATAGCAAGTATGGATTTGCATTACGCTTAATTAGTCCAAATTAGTACATTTGCTTAGAAAATATTTTAAAAAATCAAATTTTTTTCCGATGAGTTTCAAAGAAATTATAAAATCATTGAGCAAATTCTTTTAAGGTTGCTTTTGCTTTCTTTTGGGCATCGTGAGAATTATTAATAATAATGCAAAACAACCCGATGCAAATTATGCAACATAAATTCGATGATCGTGCTTCGAAAATTTTGAAATGAACAAATACTTGCATTAAAAAAATCAAGATTAGCGATTTTTACGCCTTTTAACTGAATGTGTTGTAACATTTGCCAATGTAAGGGGGTAGAATGGCTCAGTGGGTTGTTGCTCAATTCGGAATGCCGAGGCTGAGGTTCTGTTCCTTGCAGAAGTAAACCTGTCCAAAAATCCAGATGATGCTGGCTATTCATGTATTTCTATCGCCAAGACACTCCCTGGCAATTTGACAAACCAGTGGAGCGAGTTTAACCAGTAATGGTGAAGCTTTAAAAAATTCTGCCTGTGTATTGTATACCAACAATGATATTACCAAAGATCATTGATGACTTAATTGATAATCTGTTATTGTTTACTTCAAAAGTAAATTTAAAGAAGCTGGTTTGTCAAAATACCAGCGCAAATATTGTATTTCTGCTGGATTTATGGAATTAGGAAATTGATTGTCAAGAATTTGTAGAACATTCATGAAGGTTTGTTTAAACAAAGTACAGAAATGCTTTTTGCGAAGTTATTACAAATTCATTGGAAGATGTCTCTTTTCTTTGTTTCTTGATTATCAGGCTTATGGAACCAATAGTGGATGGCGAAAAAGGATGAATGAACCTAATATGAACCTAATTAGGTGGTGCGCTTAGCAAGTTGGGATTCTGGAATCAATCATTCAGCGATGTATTTAAGTATACAATCTCTTTAATCTGAGCTTAAAGCAATTCCAAGGCTGATAAATAAAATGTACTCTCTGTGCCAGGATAATTGCTCGAAACCCATCAAGGGGAATAGCTTTCTGCACGAGTGGCGAGGTTTTAGCCGTATCAGCGTAGAACGTCAGAATGCTTATGGACGTTGCAAATCGAGTGATCATTGTCCACACTCTTTTTAAATATCGTGTGGATATCGCTTGCTTGTCGGAGGTCCGTCTTCCTTCGGGTCTCGTCCGTCTTCCTTCGGGTCTCGAGTAATTGCTAATCCTGGTTCGGAGCAGAGATGTTGCCTATGTCACTGTGCGTCGAATAACTCGAGGCGAAATGGCTTAGCGATTGTCATGTCTGATAATGCACCATTCCGCGTTGATTGAGTGGAAACCGGTAAACGACCATATGGCTCATCCCCGTTTTAAAGATAAATTCTATGCAAAACTTCAATTGCTAACAAAGTCTACTGAAACATGACATGGTCATAGTCGGGGGAGAATGGAATGTACACTTAGGTCATAATGCCGCTGCAATGATCTTTACAATTGCAAATATGGCATCGAAGACCGGTGCGCCAATGGGGAACAGCTTTATGCCGAAGAGCATGAACTTTTTATCATTAATATTTGCTTTCAGCATCGTAGAAAACATTTAATCACATGAAACTCCAACATTTCAAGCAGATTGATTATATCTTAGTCAGTCACCGTTGGAAGAGTTCCGTACTAGATAGTCGTTCCTACCGCTACGCTAAAACGGGCGATCTTCATGGATCTGACCATGTTATGGTTCAAACCAAGATCCTTAAACTATCTCAAACTGAAAAATTCGGGGACAATGAGCGCATTTCAAACTGAATTATTGAAGCATCTCAATGATACAATGATATCA